CAACATTCGCTCAAGCGAAAATAACATCGCTCGAGCGACGCCACCTGCACAAAATTGGCATTCTCGGGTTGTTTTTCGCTTGAGCGACACTGATCTCGCTCGAGTGACATCCACATTTTTTTATTATGATCGATTATATTTTCAAATGATCGATCATATTTGAAAATATATAATAGCGGTTAAGATTTAACCGCTATTAGAAGTGCTATATAATAGCGGTTAAGATTTAACCGCTATTAGAAGTGATATTATAATAGCGGTTAAGATTTAACCGCTATCATATACTACCACATTTTTCACTTTCGTATCTCGCGCCACTTATCCCCAAATAACCCTAACTCTCACGCCTCACTCACCCATTCCTCTTAACCTTGACCAGTATCTCCTCCTCACTCCCGGCGAGCCCTAGCCCCCTCACTGCTCCCCCCAAGTCAGCCCTCACCCTAATCCAACCTCCACCAAAGCTCCTCGTCAACCGGACGCCACCCCGTGAGCCACCGTGCCACACCTCCGTTCTTAACCTCCTCCGCGGCCTCCGACACCCTCAACCAAGGTTTGGCTTGTTTGAATGTATATACTTGTTATTCTCTTGCATTGTGAATAATATAGGAGAGATAATTTTGACAGAATTTCTTTATCGTTTGTTGTAGGTGGATTTGTGGAGTAGATAGGTTCTTCGATCCCTCTTCTGCTGGATTTGGTGGTGCTTGACAGACCAATTTGGGAACTTGTTGAGACTGTACGCCCTCGGGTTAACCATTTGTAATTTGTTTTAATTATCTGTTGGATCTTAGTGAAAAGAAATTTCATAATTATTGGGTTTACTTATACAATTATTTGGTGGTCTCGTATCATACGTACTTGCATAAGTAGTGGATAAATACCTTGGAAAAAATGTATTAGAAAAACGTAAGTACTTGCATCACATGAAGTGAATAATGCAGTTTCACTTATGCTGATTGTTGTAGTTAATTTGCAAGAATAGAAAAACATAAGTAGTGCATCACATAAAGTGAATAATGCAGTTTCACTTATGCTGATTGTTGTAGTTAATTTGCAAGAATAGAAAAACATAAGTAGTGCATCACATAAAGTGAATAATGCAGTTTCACTTATGATGATTGTTGTAGTTAATTTGAAAGAATAGAAAAACATAAGTAGTGCATCACATAAAGTGAATAATGCAGTTTCACTTATGCTGATTGTTGTAGTTAGTTTGCAAGAATGGAGATCCCCGTTGGTAGAATGTGGATGTATCAAAGATTGGATGGTAACAAACATCTAACAGATGAATTTAGAGAAGGAGTGTATAATTTCCTACAATATGTTATTGCTCAACCTATGTTTCAAGAACAAGGTGAAATGTTAAGATGTCCTTGTGTTAAATGTAAGTGTAAAGTTTTCAAGTTTGTTGATCAAGTTGCATGGGATCTTTATCAAGAGGGATTCATGCCTAATTATTATTGGTGGACAAACCATGGTGAAGAGTTCTCCAGCTGTTCGAGCATCTTTGGACTTACATTGGAGTTCTCCAGATTTCCAAAACAAGAGTGTCATTGCCAAGGCTAATCGAACTGTTGATAAGGGTGCCTCAGCTTACTGTGGGGGTTCCATATCTACTGCAGACTCACTTTGAGAAGATGGTAAGTTTATTATATTTTTATATAAGTAATTTAATACAATATATTACACTTTAGGTAATGAATTTTGTCTCATTTTAATGTGTAGACTACGGAGTTTCAACGGGAACCAACTCGTTTGGGAGGTTGTTGAGAGGACAAAGAAATTAAAGACTGGACAATGAGTCAATGAAAAAACTCGTTATCTTGCTGTATGTTTAACATCTAAGTTATAGTTTATTATTCAATATATGTTTTCTTCATAATAATTATATTTCACTTCATTTTTAGGAACAATATATGCGATGCAGAGAAGAAGTCCATCAACATAACTTGCGTGAAGGCTCATCTTCACAAGAGTCTCCTATTGTCTCTGTTGATGATAATCAAATATACATTTCAGTTGTTGGAGGTGAAAATAAAAAAGGAAATGTGTATGGACTTGGTACATTGAACAAAAAGTTCACTACTACATCAGGTTCTCAATCTTCTATTACTCAAACTCCAGTACTTCATCAAATTGAACAAATGCGTGAGACTATTGAAAAGTTAAATGTTGAATTGGTGGCAAAGCATAATAAGGAGAAGACACTTGAAGAAGAGATGCAGGAGTTGAGGAACAACCAACGCCAACAAGATGAGCGAGATGAAGCTTATTTTACAACATATTCAAATGAATAGTCATCCTACTACAAGTCAACATGACACTGACAATATACTAGAGGACTAATTTTCAATTTTATGATATTAAGACTTTGAATATTGATTAGTTGTTAAGTTCTTAAGTTTCATTTGTGTTATGTTTGGATGAATTAAGCAGGTACAAATTTTGTAAAATTGGATATACAAAATTTGACTTTAGTTCTTAAGTTTTCATTTGTGTTATGTTTGGATGAATTAAGCAGATACAAATTTTATGATTTGAATAATTTGACTTTAGTTCTTAAGTTTTCATTTGTGTTATGTTTGGATGAATTAAGCAGGTACAAATTTTATGATTTGAATAATTTGACTTTAGTTCTTAAGTTTTCATTTGTGTTATGTTTGGATGAATTAAGCAGGTACAAATTTTGTCAAATTGGATATACAAAATTTTAAACGAAAATTTTCAGATTTGGTTAGATTAGCGATCGAATTTTTGGTCGTTACAAATTTATTATAATATACAATTCAAATTTAGCGATCGATTTAAATTATTAGTTAAATAATTCAATTATTATATTAGCGATCGATTATATTCAGTCGCTATTATTGTTAACTTTGTCTCCAATTTAGCGACCGATTTTAATTTTTATTTAAATAATTATATTAATATATTAGCGACTGAATATATCGATCACTATTTTTTAAAACTTTATCACGGATTTAGCGACCGATTTAGCGACCGATTTATTATATTAATTTCGGTCGCTATTTTGGTCTTCAATGAATAAGTGACCAAATTATTTAGCGACCACCTCATCGGTCACTATTTAGCGACCGAAATGTAAATCGGTTGCTAACAAATTAGCGACTTGCCCTTTTGCGACCAACCATTTCGGTCGCTAACAGAATAGCAACCGAATTTTGGCCATTAGCGACCGATTTTTTCGGTTGCTAATAGCGTTTTTTCTTGTAGTGTTATACATCATGATGCTGCTAATACATATTTTTTTTATTATCATGGGATATAAAATTACAGTGAAACAATTATCTCCTCAAGAAGTGAATAAGAATTTGAGTCAAAATGAAATTAAAAGGAGAAAAAAAAAATCATGATACCAAGAAGGTGGAACAAATAAAATAAGGTTTGTTCTTAAAAGATACAAGTTCCACAATAGCAAAAAAAACTTAGAATTTTGGATTTGAATAATCATCCACATGAAAATGACATTCCAATTAGTTAAAGTAAAATGTGACTAAAGTTGATTAATGAATAAAAAAATTCATATTTGTTTTTACAGAATGGATAAATAAGTTGTTGTATGTGGGCTAGCTTTACTTGTTGGTTATTCTTTTCTTTTATCTTACTTAATGCATGACATTGTAAACGTTCCATGTATTGTGATTTGTTGGTTTTGAAATTATATATTAAAGTTTGATGCACACCAATAAAATCTTCATAAAATCTTTTAATGAAGAAATTAGACCTTGTAATGTAATAAAAGTTAGAAAAGTCTTCGGAAAATCTCTTGAGTCATGTTGCATGCCAAACAACACAAAAGGAAGATCGATTTTTTCATCTTTAGTTCAATGAACTGATAATTTTCAAACATATAAATTAATGTATAATGGATTTGGTTGGGAATTATATGTTGTGATCTTTTTAAAAGATTAATAAAAAGTAACTTAGCCCCTCAAATTTTAATACCATTTTTTTAACCTTTGATTTCTCCCTCAATTTCTTAGATATATATTATAATTTTGATCCTTTAGGTCAACTACGAAATGATGTTTGAATATATATAATAAAAACTATGAATTCATGTTTATTCACAAACTCCTTGTTTTTTTACAAAATGTGTATTTTGTCCTAATCAAACATAAGTCTTCTCTTAAATGCTCAACGTATGTTGCTAAATTAATTGCTTATTTTTAAGTGAAATAACTTTTAGTATGAGAATGATTTTAATACAAACAAATTATTTTATACTTTCTAAGTAATAAATTAAGTAAAATAGTTTTAATACTTTTTAAATGATTTTCATTTAAAATAAAATTATGACCGAGCTTAATTTTTATTAAATTTAAAATATAAATATTAAGGAAATGTTTACTGAGTGAAAGATAATTAAGATAACACATAAATTTATATTAGTCTAAATAAAACAATACTTTCTTTGTGAAATTATGTCAGGAACATTTTATTTATTTATAAATTTTAAGTCTTGTTTTATTAAATAATATAAATATAGATTTCTGTATAACAAAAATATTGTATTAATTAATATTTAATAAATAAAAATAATATTCTTTGAATAATATTTATATTATTAATTATTTCAAATATTCAAAATTATATAATAGGGAGAGAAAACTAAAAAAAAAATTTTGAAGATAACTTTTGTTTATTTATATAAAGATATTGAATCCAACTTTAGAATATATTTTAAATATGCGCATAAATTGAATCTTGAATATTGTAAAAAGAAAATATCTTATATCTAGAAATAAAATCAATGCTGTAAATAATATATTAAAATTAATAGTTATGATTTCTCTATCTTTTTGTACATTAATTATTACGCGGCAATTTGAATAAATTTTAATCTATCTTGCATGACATTCTACCTCTGACCTATAAATAGACCCAATTCATAGCAATTCTCACATTACAAATTTATCATCTTCTCTGCCAAACAAATAAAAATGGGTATGAGTAATTCAGCATTTTTCATTATAATGGTTTTTCTCTGCCTATCTACCATTGTGTTCACACAAGCAAAATTCCAATTTCCCAAAGAAATAGCCTCAAAGCTTAGTAGTGATCCTCAGATCCTTTCATTAGCCTCAACAGATTATGGTGACATAGTTCACCTAACCCCATTGGCAGTTTTCGAGCCATCTTCCATAAGTGATATCTCAAATTTGATAAATTTCTCAAACTCTCTTTCCACTCCTTTCACCATAGCCACCAGAGGTAATGGTCACTCGATTCTTGGCCAAGCTATGACATCAAATGGGGTGGTGCTGAACATGACGAACCTCAATGAGTCACCAATTTTGGTTTCAGATTGTGATGGGAAGAGTCCATTGAATTGTTATGCTGATGTTGGTGGTGAAATATTGTGGATTGATGTGCTGCATGCAACCCTTGAACGAGGACTCACACCTCTATCTTGGACTGATTATCTGTATTTAACTGTTGGGGGCACTCTCTCAAACGCTGGAATCAGTGGTCAAACCTTTAGATTTGGTCCTCAGATCTCTAATGTTCTTGAATTGGATGTTGTTACAGGTATGACTTTCTCAGAATCTGATCCTGTTGTTAGGTTGAATGCAATGAAAGTCTTGAAAAGTTAGGCAACTGTTCAAAAGATTTGAATGTTTTCTTCAATGATCACATGCATATTATTCATATTAAAGTAGTCCTTGGAAAACTTTATTTCATACTTTTTATCGATATATTTTATGATTTTATGATCATTTTCACAAATAGTTTAGATCTCACTGTTATATTCATATGAGGACAAAGAATCATTAAGAAAAAAGTTAAATTCTAATCAATTTCAATAAATGCTATGGAAAAGTCTTAGAAAGTTTAGTCGAATAAGAATTTCATTATCATTATTTGGTGTTAAAATGTTTAATTATTCATTTAATTTTAAAGATGTAAAAATTTTACTTAGCTATTATATTTTAAAATTGTTTGTTTTAATTTTTACATAATTATATAAATTGATATAAACTATAATAAATTATTTTAAGTAGCAATGAGAGATAATTCATTTATCTATTATTCATTCATAGTAACAATAACTAATTAGTCTAATATAAAAAATATAAAAAAATTTGAATCAAATCCTTCCATTTATTGTATGGATAGTTAATAATCCATTTATCATTGTTCAAAATCTAATGGATCTTCTTATTAATACATAATAAATTAACTTTAATTTAAATGGTTATTATTTTTATGTTTTAAAAAAATATTTTTAAATTAATTTAAAATGTTTTTAAAATATAATTTTTATTTAAATTTATTATTTTTTATGGATGGATTGGATATATATATATATATATATATATATATATATATATATATATCCATAGAAAAAAAAAATTGTTAATGAATTGATTAAACAATTAGACCAAATTAAACAAATGAAAGAAATAGTTAAATGTAATTGTCTCACATGATTTCACTAAGATTCTTGGAGAGTAAAAAAATCAAAGGAAGATTGTGACCATTTAATACTAAGATTTTATATGTAACTTGCTTCTCCATCAATCTCTTCAAGTTAATATTATATATCTCATGACATTTTCATACATTTCTTTCAAAGTCAACTGATATAAATATAAAAGATTTACTCATATCTTTCTTTTAAAATGAAGAGTAAGGTGATTTAATTTTCATATTTATTTGATTTAATGGAGAAATCAATAAACTGATGCACTGTTCCATTTATTTCAACCACAAAATCAATTTGAAAATTGACTAATAGAGAGTCAACAAGAAAAAAAAACTTGTTTTAGAAAAATAATATTATTTAATATAATATTATTTTGATGTTTATTAAAATAAAAGGTATAAAATATTTATCATTTTTCTTAAATTTAATTTAATGTTTTCAAATATTGTTGAAAAATATTATGATATGTTTTATTTTTGTGTATTTTTTACAAATTTATAAATTTGTTATTTTACTTTTTAATATTACTATTATATTAATATCTTGTGAATAACTGAAATTTTAAACCAATATTTAATAACTGGTCCGGTTTTTAAATGATATATATATATATATATATATATATATATATATATATAATATAGGGTTAAATGATTTTGAACTATAATATAATAAAAAACAAAAATTATATTCGGTTTTCTATATTACTTAATTTGTATCAAATCAATTGAGTGTGGATATATGAGATAATGTATCAATCAACTCATGAAAAATAGATTTTAAGAACAGAAGGGAAAAATTTGGGAGTAAAGTAAAAGAGAGATAACAACAGTTTGACAGAATAAATTCATAAGAAATTAAACTTTTGAACTTACTAATAAATAATTTTTAAGTTTCAAATGCTTGTTTTAATGCATCTTTGTTTCTATGCATGTTTGTTTCCAGATATAAAGTCTTAAGACAATATGTGGTTTATTTATGCAGGGAAAGGAGACCTAGTGAGTTGCTCTAGGGAGAAGAACTCAGAATTATTTTATGGTGCTCTTGGAGGATTAGGTCAATTTGGGGTGATAACAAGAGCAAGAATACCTCTAGGACCTGCACCAACTAGGGTAACTATCATTTTTTCCCCTTTTCCTGCACCATCTAGGGTAACACTATGTCTATATAAAAAGTGTGATTTACTTATTCTAAAAAATTAGAAAATGAAACATTTATGTGAAACATTATTTGTAGGTGAAATGGCTCCATCTGCTTTACACCAACTTCACTGCATTTTCTAGAGATCAAGAACATTTAATCTGTTTCAGTGAAAAGAACGACACTACTGCATCAGATTATGTAGAAGGCAAGCTTCTATTGAATCAGCCACCACTGGATCTTTCCTTTTATCCAGATTCTAATCATCAAAGGATAACTTCACTAGTAACTCAGAATGGCATTATCTACATCATAGAGCTTGTCAAATACTATGACAACAACTCTCAAGCACGTGTCCAGAAGGTAACTTGAAACAAATGTTGCAAATTAGGGCTATCATATATCGATAACATAATAAATAGTTACTTGTATAACAATCTTAAATAAGACGACTTTAGTTACCATCCATAACCTACTCTGGTTGAAAAGAATTTGTTTTTATCAAAACTAAGATATATCACAAGACAATTTCAAACAAACTCATTATGTGTATTTGTGTATGAATAATTTGTTTCACTAAATTGGTTATCTTCTTGTTTGTTGAATAGGATGTGGCAGATTTGGTGAAAGGGTTAAGTTTCGTACCAACGTTTATCTTCGAAAAAGATGCAACATACGAGGAGTTTCTGAACAGAGTTCAGGCAGATGAGCTGTTTCTAAGGTCAAAAGGACTTTGGGAAGTTACTCATCCTTGGTTGAACATCTGGATTCCAAGATCTCGAATCTTGGATTTTAACGAAGGTGTCTTCAAGAACATTATTCTTAAGCAGAACATTTCTAGTGGAATTTCTTTGGTCTACCCAATTAATCGAAACAAGTAAGTTCATAAGCACAAATTATATGGGATTTATACATAGATTTATACTTATGTGAGAGTTAAATTGAAGAACATGCATTAATAATTGTCAGGTGGGATGATAAGATGTCACCAGTATACACCAGAGGAAGATGTTTTCTACGCTGTAAGTTTTCTGCGTACTGCAGATTCCTTAGATATGGTGGAGAAATTTCAGGCTCAAAACCAACAAATATTAGAGTTTTGCAAGCGTGCTGGTATTAAGATCACGGAATATCTCACCGGGAACAAAACACAAGAACAATGGATGGAACACTTTGGTTCAAAATGGAAACTTTTTGCACATAGAAAAGCTGAATTTGATCCCAACAAAATATTGTCACCAGGGCAAGGGATTTTCCAATAAACAATGTACTCAAAGGTTTTAATTTACTAAATAATCTGTACTTGTGAAATTTATGGAATTAGTTTCAATATATTTTAATTTCTTTTATAGTATTAATTCCAATTTGCAGTGATGAGTTATAACACCACCAGATTTTCAGAGGTTTAATTTAAAATTATTCATCAAAATTCATCACTTTTTAACTATATAAAAAATTAATAGGATTATTTTTAAGAGTAGATTGATTTTAGGTTATAAAGATGATTATAATTCTAAGCGAAAACAAGTTACTTCTTCTTATAAACATTTCCTTATTTTACACTCAAATTCTTGATTTTATCCAAGTTTTTTTTTTAGTTTTTTAGTTTTATTTTTTGTTAATTCTATTTATTTCAATGTTTTTTATTAGTCATCTGAACAAAATTGGACGTGGACAAATATTAAATAGTCTAATATTATTAATAAAATATAAATAATACAATTTTTTTTAGAGGCCTGATTAGAATTGTATGTTTTGAATCCTACTATAGTATAATTTGTTCATTTTTTATTTTACTTTAAAATATAGCTAACAATAATTACTAAAAAATTAATTTCAACATACTATCTTTCAATATATAATTAATTTCAATTGAAAATTAAGCTATTAATTAAATTAATATATCAATAATTAACAATTTTTCATAAAAATAGTTTGTAATATTCGTGGAAGTTTTCTTTCACAATCTTTGAATGCTAAATTAATATTATTTGACTAACTTTTTAAACATGGAAATAACGTTAATTAAAATTTAATAGTAAAGTTGAACATTTCACTTTATGTGATGTATTCATCGCTACACTGTAATATATTATCACATTAAAGTGTACATTTCTTTTCAACAATGTCAATTGTCAATAATAATAATAATAATAATAATAATAATAATAATAATAATAATAATAATAATAATAATAAATATTACTATTATTGGATATATATATATATATATATATTCTTTTTGCATTTTAAATATATCTATTTTTTTTATTAATTTTATATTTTTTTTCTACGTTTTAAATATATCTATTTTTTCATTAATTATGTATAATTTTTTTCTCTCTCATGTTTTTATTATTTTTTTAATATATAAATTGTAATAATTATTTTTTTCTTTAAATTATGATACTTATTTTTTCTTTTATGAAAAAAAGGGTTAAAAATTTCTTTTATATATAATTATAAATTATAGATTAATATTTTTATAAAAATTAATTACATTTAAAAAGAAATTAAAATTTAATATAGTTTAATGGAACATTAATTGTTTTTATCAGTATTTTTACTTTCAACAAGATCTTCATTAATTGTAATTAATAAATAATTCATAATAATCAATAAAGTATTACACATATTCAAATGCTTAATAAGAAATTCTCCATCCTTTTTTTCATTAATGGTACACAAATTCTATGGATTGTTCAAACAGATCACAGAGGAGATCTAGTTTCTTAAACTGATAGTGTATGTGTTCAAGAACATTCTATTACTGGTTTTGATACAAGTGTAGACTATAGTGGACATGACATTGATTATTTTGGTACATGAATTCAGTGTTTTTTTAATCCTATTTAATGCATTCACTTTTGACAGACAAAAAAAATGTCTATGTATATAATTATTGTCCAAGTAATTAATATAATTAAAAATGATATCACTTATATTTTATCAAAATCTACACTTTATATATACACACAAATCTCAATTCAAAGCCATGCAGACCAACCTAACGCATCTTCACTCTCTCCACAAGAAAAAAATGGCAAGGAATGTAGCATTTTTCATAGCCATAGCCATGGTTCTGCTACTGCTATATAGCACTGTGCTGACACAAGAACAACCACGAGTATGGTCAGCATTCGAAGCATCTAAAGAAGTAGCTTCAAAGCTTAGTCGAAACCCTCAAACCCTTCCACTAGCCTCAACTGATTATGGCAACATAGTCCACAAAACACCTATAGCAGTATTTGAGCCAAGTTCAGTGAGTGATATCATAGCCTTGATCAGTTTCTCAAACTCTCTTCCCACCCCTTTCACCATAGCCACCAAGGGCAAATCACACTCGGTTCATGGACAAGCCATGAATAACCTAAGTGGGGTGGTGCTGAATATGACTAACCTCCATAGGCCAGGGATTGTGGTGGCTTGTGATGATGGGAAGAGTCCACTATGGTGTTATGCTGATGCAGGTGGTGGACAGTTGTGGAATGATGTGTTGCTGGCAACCCTTCCTCTTGGACTCACCCCTCTTTCTTTGACTGATTATATGTATGCCACCATTGGAGGCACTCTCTCCAATGCTGGAATGGGTGGCATGGCCTTTCAATTTGGACCTCAAATTTCCAATGTTCTTGAGTTGGATGTTGTCACAGGTATCCCTAGGACAAAAGGACAGGACAAAAGTTTATCATTTTGAAGAACTATTTTTAAGTTTTTAATTTTTAAAAAATTTATTAAAATACTTTTTGTATTTTTAAAATTTAAAATCAAGATTATTAAAAAATATTATTTTTTTTATTAATAATATTAACATCTTATTTATAATTGTATTGCATATATAGCTTATTTTTATTATTTTTTAATATTGTTTTTAATTTTTATATAATATTTTATTGAATGTTATTTTTTTTCATTTAAAATCATTTAAAATTAAAATTATAGAATATATTTTAAAATTTATTTTAAAAAAATTATAAATTGTTTCTGTTTTTAAAAACTAAACGAAACATGTTATTATATTATATAAATAATAAAAAATACGCATATTTAAAATTTAATATGGTATTATATATGTATAGTAAATTTTTTATTAGACATTAGACTATTAACATAATATATTTAATACTTCCATTTAATAAACAGAGAGAAAGAGATATGTTCAGTGGTGGGGTACTAGCCACTGATGTTTAAAATAATTCATAATATTGTAGTTTTCTTTTTTATGTTTTTAGATAAATAAGTAATTTATAAATTAATATATATATATATATATATATATATATATATATATATGATTTTTTTTATACAGGGAAAGGAGACTTTGTGAGTTGTTCTAGGGAGAAGAAGTCAGAGTTATTTTATGGTGTTCTTGGAGGATTAGGTCAATTTGGGGTGATAACAAGAGCAAGAATACCTTTAGGACCTGCACCTACTAGGGTAACTATATCATTTTCTTCATTCTTTTTTTACAAATTTAATTCATTTTTTCTGTGCAAAACTATCACTGGTCTGTTATAGAATTAACATAAGCAATCCATTCTCATATAGTCTAATAAATTTTAATTGTTATAAGAAAATGTATTTGATATAATCCTAAATAAATCTGAAGCCACATATTAGTTTCTTACATGTTTAAGAAGTTGATGACCGTATCTAGCATGACATCTATTAATCTTTTTGTATACAAACCATATCAGCATCTAATATTTTAAAAATAATTATATATTTCTAACATGAAAAATATGATTTAAGATTTAAGGGTGTATTTTTTTCTGTGGGGTTTTGCAGGTGAAATGGCTCAGATTGCTTTACAATAACTTCACTGCATTTTCTAGAGATCAAGAACATTTAATTTCCTTCAGTGAAAGTGATGAAAAAACAAAAGCAGATTATGTAGAAGGCATGCTTGTATTGAATCAGCCACCACTGGATCTTTTCTTTTATCCAGATTCTGATCATCAAAGGATAACATCATTGGTAACCCAAAATGGCATCATCTACCTTTTAGAGCTTGCCAAATACTATCACAGCAACTCTCAAGAACATGTCAAAAAGGTGATAACTTGAAAAAAAATATAGTTCTGTCATTAAGAACTTCTTTTATTTTTACTTTTTAATCAACAACTCTCAACAAAAATAGACACTCCACAAACAATTTATTTGAATTAAATTGATTTGATGTAGAATCTAAATTGGTCTCTAATATTCATAAAAAAATTAGACTCTAAATAATTTGTGTATATAATTTGTAACAAAGAAAAAGTAAACTCACTCAAATTATTAGGAACACAACTTTTGAATTAACTTATATACAAATCATTTATTCACTAACTTGATTTCTTATTTCCTGAATATAGGAAGTTGAAGATTTGGTGAAAGGGTTAAATTTTGTGGCGACATTTGTGTTTGAAAAAGATGTGTCGTACTATGAGTTTGTGAACAGAGTTTATCCATTGGAGCTAATTCTTAGGTCAGAAGGACTTTGGAAAGTTCCTCATCCCTGGTTGAACCTCTGGGTTCCAAGATCTGGAATCTCAGATTTTAATGAAGGAGTTTTCAAAGACATTATTCTTAAGCAAAACATTTCTGGTGGAAGCTTTTTGGTCTACCCCACAAACAGAAACAAGTAGGTTTATTAGATTATATTCAAATCTTAATAAGTATAAATCAATTTACTGTTCCAAATTATTTGCTTATATGAAACATATGTCGCAGGTGGGATGATAGAATGTCACCAGTAACACCAGACGATGATGTTTTCTATATTGTGGATTTTTTGCGTACTGCTACGAGGTTTGATGTGGTGGAGAAATTACAGACACAAAACAAAGAGATTCTACAGTTTTGTAAGGATGCTGGTATTAAGATCAGGGAATACCTTACTGGTAATAAAACACATCAACAATGGGTGGAACACTTTGGTTCAAAATGGAAACTTTTTGCAGATAGAAAAGATGAGTTTGATCCCAATAGAATATTGTCTCCTGGATATGGGATTTTCCAATAAACCATGTACTATGTTTTTATTTTCATTGAACAAGATGCTATTTTTTTTTCTGTAATCTTTTCTTCTAAAAAAAATACTGTCTTGACAATTCTTATTCTTCCTATACTCTTTTTATAATATGATAACTTCTTTATAATATTATCTTTATTATATTATTTTAGAAGAGTTGTTAGATAAAAAAAATTAGTTATCAATATATCTTTGTTTATTATTGTGAAAAATAATTTTAAGTTTTTATTTTTTTAAATTAAAAAATTTGTTTGATAATTATTTTGTTAAAGTATATTTTTTAAAAAGTGTTTTTATTCTTCAGTGTTTAAAAAATAAAAGATAAAAACTAATAAAAATAATTTTATTTAATTTTCTGTTTGTATTAATAAATATTTTTTTTCAATAATTATGTCAAATCACTCATTCTTATTATTATAATAAAAGCTTTACAAATATTTTTCATTTTTCATTAAGTTTTTTTGTTACCTGTATTACTTTTTTAAAGATAAAATTATAAATATTTTTTAAGTTATTTTTAAAAGCAGTTTTTTAAATTAAGTTTTAAAATTAAAATATTAAACTAAACCAAACAAATCATTTTATCTTATAAAAAAAATGTGTTCTTTCCTCCATTTATTGATTCTTCAAAACCTTCTCTTTGAAAAATATAAAACGAAAAATTGATAATTAAAAGATTTAAATTAAATTGACACAATCGAAAATACAACCTTTTTTCTTACTTTAAATAGAGAGGTTCCTTAAACGACAACGTATCAAACAATCATCAAAGTCCCCCCTTCACCGCGCCCATCGATCATCATCGTCTTTTCTCTGGAGCTGCGTTGCAAAAACGCACCGTTTTGTTCGTGTTCTCGTTCTTAAGAAAAGTGAACGAGTGAAGCAGGGTTTGCAAGCTTGTTTATAAACAACAATGGCTGAGAAACCCCAACCGGTTCGGGTGCTGTACTGTGGGGTGTGCAGCTTACCTCCCGAATTCTGCGAATTCGGATCCGATTTCGAGAAATGCAAACCCTGGTTGATCCAAAACGTCCCTGACCTCTACCCCAATCTTATCAAAGGTACTTTTTTTTTCACAAAACAATTCAGTATTGCCCTAATTTACACTTTTTTTTATTTTGATCATTACGATTTAATTCAAATGCGATTTTTTTTTTCGCGCAGAGGCTAATGATAAGGAAGCTGATAAAGTTGCTGACAAGCTGCAAAGTACTGGTATAACATCCGGAGCTGGTGATGGAGCTGCTTCCTCAGGTCTTTTTTTATTTTATTTTTAATTTTTGTTTAATGTGCATGCGATTGCCGAAGGTAGATATTCCATAAATTTCTGAATTGGAAGTTTTAGTGTGTGAATATTAATTTAGATGAGTTGTATGACTTTCATTATATAATTTTTTTTTTTTTGGGAGGGGGATTTTAGCTTAGTCAATGTGATCCTAATGGTGTGTTTTGGTTTGATGTTCAGCACCGAAGCAAGAAGAGGTGAAGCGTCTTCCTGGTGGGAAGATAAAGAAGAAGGTATGTCGTGGAATTTTTTAAGCCTCTCTAATGGATGTACTTGTTGTTTGAAGCTGAATGTCGTAGTTTCATGTTATTTGTTGTGATTGGAAGTGATATTACTTTTTTCAGGAGAAGCAAGAGGTGGTTATTGAAAAGGTTGTACGTAACAAGCGAAAGTGTATCACCACTGTGAAGGGCCTGGAGCATTTCGGTAAGCTATTCTTTTCGGGCGTCGTTTGGATGTCTAATGACAGTGGAATCTAAGATGGAATAGGATAAACTTGTCATACCAGTCTTTGGACGTTTCGTGAGAAAATTTTATTCTATCAGATGGAATTGGACAAAATAGATACCTTGTGTTTCATTTCATCTTAAACAATGCAAAAATTGGTTTCTAAAAGCATTTCATTTTCCTTCATTTCATCCCTTTCTATTAGGTATCAGGGTAAACATAGCCTTAAGTTATTATTACATAGGTGTCCTTTGGTGGTTAACTCGGTTCTTTTATTGCATCCAGGTGTCAAGCTCAGCGATGCTTCCAAGAAACTCGGGAAAAAGTTTGCTACAGGAGCCTCTGTTGTCAAGGTTTACTTATATTTTAGATGGTGTTCATAAAATGGATGTTGTGACCCTTTTCTAGGGAATTTTTTTTTTTTTTCAAAGACTTGATTAGGAGTTTACTCATGAAAACATTTTTGGACCAAACTATAGTTGTTAATAGTGCCAAATAGCAGGTTATTGAGGAATTGTGTGGTTGAGCGATAAAAATGAAATATTGTTGCAATTTGGAGTAGCTGCTCTGCTGTTGCTGCAGCAATAGTAGATTAAATCATCACGGAAAATTGCAGCTGGAGCGAATCACAAAAGCTTATTTAACCATGAAACAACAGTGTTTAGAACTTTTTTTGGGGGGTCAATTTCGGATTTACTCCCCTCCTTTGAATAGGAATCGAAACCTTCTTTCTCAGTCACTTAACACTCTGTTATGAAGTAGCACCCACTATTCTCCCTTCTGACTAACACCCATCACTCTGCGGAAACATTTCCGGCATTTCCCAGCATTTTGTTGCCAGCTGTGACAGTTGGCCGTCCCCAACCCCTTAGTGTCAGCCTCTGCTATCCATAGTTACCGATTGTCCCATAGACCTCTGACCATTTTCTGGTGACCTGCTACTTTTTCTGGTCAACCGTGAGATTTTCTGCCCTACTTTGTTTTTTTTATTTAATCCTAAGCATTGCTATTTGGATTGACAACTATGATCCCAACGCAAAGTATAGTTGTTTCATATTTGTATATAATGTCTTATGCTATTGTGGATTGATTGATATTAGGGACCAACTGAGAAAGAACAAATCGATGTTCAAGGGGATATAGCTTATGATATCGTGGAATTCATTACAGATACATGGCCCGACGTAAGTAATTTTGATCCTTTTTTGTTTGGCTTTGTAATTATCTAATCTGATTTGAATGTTTGTATTTCTGACAGCAGTGAAAAGAAGCAATTAAAAAGAAAATTTTGAGTTGTCAAGTTTCATTAATATGATTTTCATTCTAATTTGCTTCTTTTTTTTTGCGGGAGACCAATGGATATTTTAATTTGGTTATTAAACTAAGCAAGGAAATTTGTTGTTCAATTTGGCAATCTATTTTTGACACCATCTTGTATGTATATGGATTATCTTTGACACCATCTTATATGATATATGGATTATCTTTTGATACCATCTTATATGAACAAGGAACATTTCATTTATTTATGATACTACTGCTGAATTTAGCAAACATTTTTCATGCTTGACATTACTTTCCTCTCCCCTTGGTGAAGTCCTTTTTTAATGATTATTAATAGATTTGACAAAATATAAAATATTATTAGTAACGACAAACATGTTCCTACTGTAAACTCGTTTAGAGAAACTACTTGATATGGTTAATATTTTGTATTCAGTTCTGATGGATGAATTGGATGATAAAATCGGAGTTTGTAAATATTTGCTGTAAGGAGGCATCTGTTTTATGTGCTAAGCTAGGCCTGCTTCTTCTTATTGAATGAGATGTTGATAGTGAGACTTGTATCTATTTTCGTTGGCATCTATTACTGTTTGACAATTTTAAACGATATGATATGAGACTCTAAACAAAAATTGAACTAATATCTAATTAATACAATGAATTTTTTGAAAAGCAATTCATTGGTTTTCTTTGTTATGAATGATTTCTTTGTCTGTGTATACATATCACTGGTTTATGCACAATTATCCCCTTTCCCCTCAGAGCAGTAGAACTTTCATATGATTGAAAATTTGTGTTCCTTTTGCAGGTTCCAGAAACAGCAATTTTCTTTATAGAAGATGGGAGAAAGGTTCCGGCTGCTTGATTTTGATATCCTGGCATTAAAACTTGGCGCTGATATGGTAGACTCTTCTATGTTATTGTAATCCCCGATCACCCTTTTTACCTTACCATTCCCCCCCACCCAAAAATAGAACAGTGTGTGGACCTGATGGACGTCAGCATGTGTACTTTTAGTTTAACGATATTCAATTAGTGATGTGCAGAGAGGCAAAAGGAAGAAAAGGTTCGTTTTCATCAATTTTGTATTTTCATTGAGGTTTTAAGCCTTCTAAGATGCGGAATAAGGCTCTGCTTAGTAATTGCCAAGCTCATAACGTAGGGTTTATATTCTGATCATAACACCGGAATTTAGATAAATTAATCTCTTTCATTTATCATCGATTTTTTATTCCGTTCGGTGTTCGGACAAGTTCTATGTAAGAACTTTTAAGAAAGAAAACAATATGAAATGAATTTTTCTATACTTAAAATCAGTTTATAATATTTTTCAGTTTAATATTAATGATCATTTGCCAACGAATCAGATCCCTTGAATGAGTGACATTATGAGTTTAATATTAACAAAATTTCAAATTCACTTATTTAGAATGCCAAAATTAATAAATGGAGCAAATGGTACTGTTTACATAAACAACGTTAATTAAGAAAAAAAGTGATAATTTTTGAATGAGAGAAATTAGGCATCAAAATATTGAAAGTATTAAACTGTAGTAAACATATTATGAATGCCGTCAGAAGTCTTGAAAATGTTATATATTATTAGTCGAGGAATTAGAATTAAATGTGAACAGCAAAGAATATTTAGGCTATGTAACTAAAATGAAATATGTGATTTTATATTGTGGAATTTTAAAGCTCTTCTTAAACATGTGATTGTAAACAAGTTCGTTATTTGCTCTTGCACTCCTGAATAGAAACAAAACATTTTCTAAATGTTTTGAATGGAAAAAAAAAAAAAATTCCTAGCGTAGACACTTTTTGACCAGCATTCAATCGAGAAACAGGACTCTGGTAAGGTAAGTGTAAGTTAGAATCGAGCCCCAACAAGTTCGAAGATTCCTAGAAGTACCTATAACAAATACATACAGGTTCCATGTTATCGATGCAAGGAGGAAAGGGTTCAGGTTTAAAAATTGGTTCCATTTACTATTCATATAGATTTAAGAATATTTTTTCACATAAAAAAAAAAAAATTGTTTTGCCAAGCCTTACAAACACATTTCAAAATCACAATTACAAAGAACAACCTAGGTAGTCAAATTCTCGTATTCACGAAGCCGATGGTGAAGGAACGAAATATTTGGAAGAAGTGATCACATACTGTTCCACTTTTCTCCTTCGAATAATATTGACTCCAAGAGTTTGTTCTTCTCTTGTCACGTGCTGTTGTTATTATCAGTTTCGTTGAAGCATATTCCTGTAACGTAGAATAGAGTCAAGCCTTTGCAACCTGAGTTGCTGCCTAAACTTGTTGATGAAATCATCAGCCTTCGCGTCCACCCCTTCCTCTTCTCCCCTTTCCTCCACCAACTCTCCACCACGCGTGACCTCAGCAGCTTCGGATGCAGCCTCCGATTCCTTCACGGACTCCGATCTGTCAAAGGTCAAGGACTTAAGCCGCTGGATGATGGAAGGAGCACGGCGCAATGGCTCTTGAACCGACTCAGGATTTTCATCCTCCACCTTGCTTAAGCCGAGACTAAAAGACCTAACCCGGTCCAACAACGAAGTAGCTTGTATCTCAGAACCAGAATTCTGGACCGGATCAGGTCTTTGGGTCTCTATTTTGTGAAAACTGAAAGATCTAACCCGGTCTAACAAGGATGAAGAGCGGTCTAATTGGGAAGAGTTTGTACTCTGGACAGGGTCCACAACAAGATTGTGAGGCGTTAACATTGTTGTTGTCGTTGGATCATGTTTGTGGTAACAAAAGTTGAAGGATGTGAATCTATCTACCAAAGAGGGAGAACGGAGGAGTTGGTGTTGGCGTTGGCGTTGGCGTTTTGTGGTGTTGGCGAAACGAGAGATAATGGCTATGGTGCCAATGACAAGGTTGATGAAGACGAATAGATAAGAGGGTGTGAACCAACTTGCCATCACTCCATAAGCTGATCTCGCTGCTGTTTCTCTCATGTCTGCCATCAGATTCTCTTCTACTTTTAGATTTGAGTGTGAGGGAGAATTGAATGGTGTAATATTCTGAGCCTATAAGAGAAGGGCGAGTGAAGGTTGACGTTTACTTCCCTGTATTGGTACGTTTGTTTTTGGTGTATTTGTTTGTTCAAACGTAAGTGGCTGCTTCATGAATGCCCCTGTTGTTATTCTTTATTCTTCATTCTTACGCTGCTAACAACCATCTCAGTATTATTTTACTAGATTTAAAGCATCGCGTGGCTTCTTATGCCAATTGAAAGTGATAAAGAAATGGATAAATATGGTGTTCCTAGGTCAAGTCAGCTAAAAATAATACGTGAAAGAGAGAAATAGAGGATTAATTAATTCTACGTATTACGCATGTGTCTGCATATTTTATTGCACAAAATCACAGACAAAAGCTATGTATTGGTTTTGTAAGTTAATTATCCACTTTAATAAAATCATTTCTGGGAAAACACTGGAAGAAAATTTGAATTAAACTACTCTTTCATGTTTTGTTTTATGATGCAAAAGTGGGTGCAGTGCATGCTCATATCATACCTAATAACCTTTGATGATTCGTCAGCGTTTGTCTTCACTCTTTTTGACCATATTTCAACCACTCTTTGTAAGTCTTCTGCTTCAAACATTAATTTATTTACCATCAATCAAACATGTTCATCTCAATATTATCATGTAACCCTCAAATAAAATTATATATATATATATATATATATATATATATATATATATATATATATGTTTATTATTATTAATTAGATCTTATGACTTCGTAAGTCATTTTCTACTTATTGTTGTATTAAATCTCTCTATTTACTAAAACTTTACTAAAACTTTTATATAAAGATAAAGTTAGAAATTAATATTGTGTTTGAATAAAGAAATTTATTATTTAAAAAAAAAAAATATATATATATATATATATATTAAATTTAAATTATTTTCATTTTAAATTAATTAATTTTTAAAATATTTTATTTAATAAGATAATAAAAATTTATTAAATTTATTTTTTTTATTTAGATAAAACATTTCAATTATCATTAAATATTTTTTTGTCTTCTTACAAAGCCAAAAACTTACAATCAGATACATTGTGAAATCACAAGTAATCTTAATTCATTTTAACCACCTTTTGAAGAACATTGTGCGCAGATAGATCCATGTGTCGTGGCGGCTATGAAATTTCCTCTTCTTTCAGCGTGGAAATTAACATCTTTAAAAGAATTCCACAATTTTTATATGAAATATTTTATTTTATTTATTTTAACATGTTTGTTTAAATCATTATTTAGCATCAAATAAATATGAATATAATTTCTTTTAATTGTACACATCTTTTGTCGTCAAACTAGTATGTACTCTAATGTATGTATCAAATACGCGTGACATTTCACTTAATAACGTTGTAAATTTACTAGTGAAAATGCATGTATTTTTGTATTTATATATATTATTTAATCAGTTAAATTTTATGTCGGTATAATTTAGTGTTCTGATTTTAAAATATTTTCAAAAATAAAATAGAAAAAAATCTCATTTTATATTATTATAGTTTCTTTTAAAATATTGTATAAACAATAGATATATTCAAGAAAGAATATAGCCTTATTATGATATAGTTTATTATTTCTACTAGAGTATTAATTTTTTATTTTAATGATAATTCTGTATAAATACTTTGTATTCTGAAAATAAATCAACAGATTTTATTTTAATTGATAAAAAATTTATTTTATATTATAAAGATAGTTCAAGTCAAATCTCCATAAAAAACTTATTTTCAATTTGATAAATTTTCTGATACAATAAATTTTAAAAATATTAACGTTAAAAAAAATTTCAATATGAAAAACACTAAACGTATAAATTACTGCATAGATCAACCTAGAAAATAGTGCTAAAAAATGAAATATTTTATAAATAGATATCATTATTTTGAAAATGAAGGTTGAATTAAGAATCGATTTAATAATTAATATATTATTTTTAAATAATTAAGTTTTAATTAAATTGGTATAAAATGAAATAAATCAATTAAATTTTTGAATTAAAATGATTTTAATAAAAAAAAGAAATTTAAATTTTTGATGTAATATTTTTATTCATATTAATTATATTAATTTTAAATAATAATATTTTATTGTATTTTCTTTTTATTTTAATTATTATTTATCTTCCAGTTTTTATTATAAGTTGTGATAAAAAATTTGAAAGTAGCGAAAGTTAAGGTTTGGGCTAAAGCCCAAAACACGTAACATTATTTTGAGTAAAGAGATCCAACACTCACCTTCGATGTTTGTTTGGGCTAGGTTTTCTTTCGGGTCAAAACAACTTGCCATTTTCATTCATCGCTTTCATAAAAAATATCAAAATTCTTACTTTATAGTCCACACATTTCACCTCTCATTTTCAAATCCCTTGTATGAAAAACGTGATTATTGAAAAGTAGTGATGAAAAAAATCATCGTATGAAAACTTGAGAACAATTTAAGTATCTATTAGGAGATGTCCACATCATGACTTAGATTATTCAAATCATATATGTAAATATTTATTTCCTAACATGAGATTTAATCAATTTTAATTATTAATAAAAAAAAAATATATATATATATATATAAAAAAAAAATTTATGCATTTGTTTTGTTTATTCCTAGTCATACATATTCCTTGGTTGAATTTAAAACATAATTTTATAGTATATATATAAAATCATAAATATGCAAAAAAAAATGTTAAAAATGATTATGCAGATGGTGTCAAAAGAAAAATATATATTATGCAAATGTAAGTAAACTTTTAAGATGCAATGAAAGACACCATTGAGCTGCTGAGTGGTCAATTTTGTATAGTTTAATATATTTTTTATGGAGGTTTCTTGGGAATTCAGGTTTGTAGGAAGCAACCACCTCAACAACCATGGGACTGGATGAATCAGTTTAATTGGTCTCAAAAATTGTCTACTACTTTAAAATCATCGAATTTTTATTGTTTCAATTAAATTTGGTTGAATCCAATTAAATTTTTTCAATTAAAAACCTTATTTTTACCGATTCAATCATCACTCTAGTTTTAAAAAGATTGTACAAATGATAATGAAATCTTCCAAATCATAAAAAAGTGGACCAAAAGGAAAGAGAGTGGAGTGAGTAACAAGAAATTGAACAAAGGGATGCAATGAAACCTTTTGAAAAATGTTTGTTTCTTATGCACTATGGATTTGAAAGTTTGAAGTGTTTTTATTTCCTTTGTGGGGTTAGGGTTAGGGTTAGGGTTAGGGACTTGAAAATTAAGGAAGAAAGAAAAATGAGAGTATATTCAAAGACTAAGTGGACCATATTGTGTGTGTACGTGGTTATATTCTTTGTTGCTTGTCCATTTCCACATACCACGTGACATTTTTTTGTTTTGTTGAGTAGAATTGATGACATGGAATTTGAAAATTTGTGTTTGTTTTGTTTGAATTTGTTCCACTTTGTGAAATGTGAGCCACCACATACTGTGTGTAGATTGATATAAGTACACAATTTTTATGATCTTCACATTGGTTGGTGGTTGTGAAGAATGTTTGGTGGGTTTCACAATCTTGGGTGGGACTGTGAATTTCACTACTTCAAGGTATCATAAGTCAAGATTGAAAGCTATTTGAAATTGTTGCAACTATAATTATACTTGGTGAAATATTAATCTTGTAAAATACGTTATTTTCTTTTTTAGAAACATTTTTTTAATTAATGCCACTTTATCTAAATGGAACTAAGCTTAAAATCTTTGAAACAACTTTTATGTATTTATTATAAAAGAAACAAAATCTTGCAATCCATTTTCAAAAATCTATTTTTTTTGTCATTAAAAAATCCATCTTGATGAAATACCATAAAATAAAACATGACTTTTTCTATATAAAAAACAAAATATTTTGAAATTCCAATTGAATACTTTCCTTAAATTTTACAAAGAAACATGAATTGTTAATAAAAAGATTCTTTTGGGTAACGCTTAAATCTTAATATTTTAGTTAGGATAGAAGAGATTAATTCCAATGGTGGGAAGAAGAAGATGTCTCTCTCGTGAAACACTTTGTTTCATGCACATCAATTACAAATAGCAATGTTTTTGGCATCTTTCAGTCTCCATTTTGTTCATATTGTTTTCTATTTTGGTTAATTTTCATCACATGCACCTTTCAACAAATGGTTTAGGGGCACAAATTTATTGCACCCATTCCCTTATCACAACCTTTCTTTATCATCAGAAAATAAAATTTAGAAAACCAAAATAAGAAATCGGAATGGAACATATCACCTTTATCAGAATGTACGTTAATAGTCCATCAAATTAAACTTGTTGAAAAATTTGTATAAAACTTGATATATCTTTATGAAGTTTAGATGTTTTTTTGTTTTAAAAAGGTTACGATACATCATCATCAAGAGAAATTACTCAACGTTACAAGAACATTACCACATCATCCTTTCATTAAAAATAGTAATTTGATTTAAACACAATAATCTTTACCCCACCAAATATTTTAGATCCATTTGTTTGAAGGAAACAACATATTTTTGAACAATTTAGAAAAAGTGAAAAATATATATATAAAAAAATTGTTTTCAAAATCATCCATTGAAAATAAAATGTAACTTGTTAAATTATTTTTGAAAAAAAAAGCAATTTTTTCTCTTTTATTTTCTTTTCATATGAATAAATATATTTTTCAATCTGTTTTTTTCTTCTCTCACATTTTTTTTAACAAAAAGACTTAATTTTTCCATTGTGGTGCTAGACAAAGGTACATGGGCAAATAGTTAGGCATTATCAACTTGAAAAGGTAATAGGATGGTGAGAGGGGAAAAAAATAAATCATACTTCTGGATAGAAATTTCATGAATAAATTAATATCTATGGATAAAAAAAATCCAGTTTTGAGATGAATTAGTCCCTGCTTACAGCAGATCCATGTGATTGAAATCAACTATGCTGCAGAAGCATGCGTTGGACACAGGATCCTTTACTTTTTCCCTAAACAAGCTGCAATTTAAAATTGATCGTAGCATGATAACTGAATTGATGACCATTTATTGGGTGTTGCAGAAGTCAATTAAGCATTAACTAATATGAGATCATGTGGGGGAGATTCAAGAGGGATCAGAACAAGATTTTGCCACATGGCACACCTTATTATCATCAACAAATCACTTTCTCAAGATGGCCACTAAGAGCTGCCCAAAGGGAAGAGGAAAAGCAACTAGGCAACCTCCATTGAACTCAAATCAAAGTAAAGTTTGGTAATTATCCTCTGTTGACAACAATGCTTAAATCTGACTTTCCCACTGAAAATTTGTAGACAAAAAAATTAAGACTCTTCTGTTCTGTTTCTGAACCTCTCTGTCCCACCCCAACTGCCTCTCTCTCTCTCTCTCTCTCTCTCTCTCTCTCTCTCTGAGCAGGGTCTGTTACTTTTCTTTTTCCTTTGTTGAGGTTCCTTGAAGTGTGTGTGGATTGTGGGATACACAAAGTGCATATTTTTATTGCTTTGCATCAATTTTATGCTTGATCTAGTTACCATCTATTTTCTGATTTTTTTGGCCATGGAAGACTCCGAGTTCTGTTTCTCACAATTCATGATCTCAACTTGTTCTCCAGACACGCTTCTTCTGGCTCTTGCCCTTTTCACCAAAGACTCTTCTGGCTTCTTCCATAACCTTCCTTCTCATTACTTTGGTGTCACTATATGTGGGTCTTCTTCAATTTAACCTCTATTTGTTCTTGCTTCAAGTGATAAGGTTCCAAAGCTGTAGTTTTATTTTCTCCTATTTATTATCCTGTTGACTACTTCTGAAGAGGCTATATTCGGAGATGGGGTTTATATTGGGCCTGATTCTTCAGCTGTTGAAGCTCTGCATCATTGGTTTTGTTGTGGCATTCGAAGGATCTCAAGGTACGTATTTAATTCACAGAACTTTGTTGGAGTTAATCTCTTAGCCTCAGATTGTCATAGATTATGATGAACTTATGCTTAGGCTAGAAGTACATGATCTTGATAAGAGTACATGGTTTTTAAGTTGTTACAATAATAATACTATTGGTTTAAATCCTTATACTTAGAGGCAGGATAACCGGAGGAGGCATTTGGTGTCCTCTTTCTGTTGTCTTCTTCCATTGCTTAAAAAATCTTATTCTGGTCTGAACATATTAAAAATGGGCAAGTTGCTGATGGTTTTTGAACCCTTTGTTACACCCTTCATTTTTGCGCTGAGCCTATTGTTATTAGAATCAAAGTACATTGGCTGCTTACTGCAGATTCAGCTGATAATTAATGATTTTTATATCTATGATCATTTCTTCATACCAGGAGTTCTCCTTTGCTAAGCATACATCTAGATGCATGTAGGATTTATTGGCTTAAGAAAATCGTAGCTTGTAATTCACAAAAATATTTGAAGCCAGAGGGTTCCTCGTAGTGAAGGTACTTTTTGCATATTGATTGATTTCTTACCCTCCCCGTGATCATTTTAACATCATAGAGGTTCATCTAGTGAGTTACCTTCAGCATGTGGATTGATTTCTTAATCCCATTTAAACGCTCATTCTAAGAAGTGTTGTTCCTTACGAACTGAATGGCCTTCAACAGTTAAATTTATACAGGGAGAAAATGACTTCTGAATTCTGCCACCTCTCAAGTTAACCACAATCCTTTATTTTTATTTCAAAATTAGTTATCCTAATGCACGCAAATTACAAACTCAGCCAGAAGAGAAATACCAAGATTTCAAATGTTAAATTTTTCACAAATACATAATTGAGCCCATTTGCTTGCCTAACTAATTAGCCGAAGTAATCAGATTTTATAATTTTAATCCTGCTGATAAAAAACAAAGTTGATATTTTTAACATTTGTCCCATAGAACTTTTAGCTTCCAATTGATAATATCTTCTTCTAGGGTCTATGATATCCCCATCTCCAGCATTCCTTCCAGTCATTCATCCTAGTGGAGAAGCACCTGATCCTATCCATCTTGGATTGTCATCGGGAAGCAGTCCATCAAGATCACCTTCAGATCCAAATGGTATATCTAATCTAATCTAATATCATACAAAATGGTTATGAATTTGGAGCTTTTTGAACTTGATTATTCATTGTCCTCTCCCTATTAGCTTCTGCTGGTATTTTAATACTTCTGTTCCTTCTTTCAGGGTTTGTTTTATCCCCATCTCCAAAAACCATACATGTGGATCCTTCCCCCGCTGAAGCACCTAATCTTGTACACCCAAAAGAACCATGGAGAACCATTGCACCAAGCCCTCAAGAAGTACCAAATGGTAATCTCACTCCTTTAGTCCATTAGATCATATTGGGATGATCTGACCAAAAACTTGGCTTTTCATCATCCAGGGTCATTCTTGCCCCCTCTAGTAGTTACATTACCACCTCCTAAATCACCTCCAACTCCTGAGAAGACAAAAGAATTTGAATCATCCATATCTCCTAGTCCTGGTTCAAGCACCATAACATCATCACCGTCACGATATACTACTGCTCCTGGACCATCAACTGCAGAAGGGAATGTTTCACCATCCATACAACTAAGTCCACCTCAAAGCAAAACACCTACCGTTAGTCCTCCTGTTACCACACCAATTGCTCCAGGTATATATGACTGAGAAGTTTCTTTTCTGGGAGAGCGTCGCCATTCATAATAACCAAAATTCTGCTCTTTTATCACTTCTTGAACAGCTCCCATTGCAATACCTTCAGGCAATTTGCCAAAAACTTCACCAGTCAGCCAACCAATTGAACATGGAAGTTTGCCTCCTAAGATGGAAGAGAGGAATAAGAGTCACAAGCCTGAGCCAGCTTTTCCAGGTATGAGATAAAAAGTCTTGTCATGTAGTGGTATTCTTAATGATGGTTTTGACCTAAAAAATATACTTTTCTATTGAATTCTTGAACAGCTGTAGTTCCAATACCTTCTACGGAGTTGCCCAAATATTCACCAGCAAGCCAACCTACTGAAAATGGAAGTTTGCCTCATAGAGAGGTTGCAAATAATAGTCACATCCCCGAGCCAATTTCACCAGGCATGTGATGAAAGTGAAAAAGTTGTTACCTGATTTCTTCTGAAATTTCCATTTTTTTTTGTGTCATTTCCAACTTGCAGTTGGTATTAAGCCAAAATATGTTTTTTTAAATGCATTTCAACAGCCCCTTTAGTATTCATTTTGCCCGAACATCCACCAATGAGTCAGCCAACTAAACATGGAACGCCTCCAACTGTTCCTAAAAGGGTTATCAACATAGGTCACACATTGGAGCCAGTTTCGCAAGGTAATTCTATTTGAGGTTTTATAACTGTTCTTTTCTTTCATTGCTAAATTTCAGTTGATACCAACGTCAAATATATGTTTCTATGACATTTTTTAACAGCTCCAGTTGCAACACCTGCAAATTCGCCGAAAAATTCATCAGTCAATCAACCAAATCATGGAAATTTCCCACCTGATTTTCACAATGGAACTGCAAATAATGGTCACACAAACACCGCAGCACCAGAAATGTCATGTATGTTGTGTAATCTAATCTAATTCTCTCTACAATTCAACTGTTGTGATTCTAAACACCTTTTTTTTTTATTCATGAAAGCACAAAATCTATTGCATCATCACATGGAAAATGGAAAATAACGAACGAATAGGCCACCTATTTTACCAAAATTAACTCCATTGGTATATCCTTACTTTGAGGAAAGAAGGGAGAAAGTTAAAAATATCTAGTATTAAATTTATAAGATTATCCCTTTTACTTGTCTCATTGATCTTCTATTGTATCCATGCAGCATCAGTTACACCACCAAGTCCATTTCCAGTAGATCCACTACCAGCAGCATCTCCATTCAAATCACCAGGTGCAAATTTTGAGAAAGGATTTTATTCCATAACATTTTGTTGTTGAATTACTTTAGCTGTTGATGATCCAGAAAGAGATGTTAATATATATCTCTTATTTTAATGTCAAATAATAATTTGACAATAAGTTAGGACATGTGGATTGGATTGTATATTTGAATTGAGATGAAAAGGTACAAATCATGACTGATATGTAATGTTTTCATAACATGTGGAAAATCACCATAAATGTGGTCACCCCTAGCCTGATTTAATTGCAGCTTATTAGAAATGGTTACCATTTTTTCAAAAAGGGATACTTATGGAGGGGTTGACTAGAATGGTTGAGTGAAGCATGGTAGAATCCAACCACTTGAACATCATTTCTTAGGCATTGTAATCCCAAATTGATTAGAAATTTGATCTAAGTGATGCTTATAAGGTTTAGGCATCCTTATTTTATAAGTCAGATTTGTAGGATACCTAGACTCTAAACCTAAATTCTAAGAATTAAAGATTATCAACATTGTGATTTGGATCTTCGAAGGTGAGGAAAAGGTGTGCATCCACATTGGGTTAAATCATGAGATACTTTGATTGATATCAAGGTGGATTCTCCCTTACTTTCTCACTTTACAAACCTCAATGCCAAGGAGCTAAATCCACAATGTTGCTACTAAATGTGAAAAAAATATGTAATCACTAAAATAAATTTAGTGACAACCATCAGCAGCATATAACATAACATGAGATCTGTTTACCACAATACTATAAAAAAGTATTTATTGATTTTTTTTTTTCAACATACAAATGTTCACCTATAACTGCCATTCTAAGTGTTTAACATTTGCATCAGAATACTATAATTTCTTTAATATTGTTAATTCTATTGCGCATTAATTAATTTATTAAGCACAAAAAATATTTGGTGCAGCACCTATTGTCTCTCCTGCATTGACTCCTTCCAGTTGGAAAAAAGGTGAAGAACCAGTTTCTGCACCTATGTACAAAACACCAAACCCACTACCCGCTATAGTACATTCCCATACTCAAGGTATATGGTAACATTAAACTACTTTTGATGAGTTACACGTTCTTAACTAGAGGATTGGCCATTGAACTATCGACATCAATCATTCTTCAATTGATGGAAATTTAATAAGCACAAAATATTTGCTGTAGCACCCGTTGTCTCTCCTGCATTAACACCTTCTAGAGGCTTCAATTGGAAAAAAGGTGGAGAACCAGTTTCTGCTCCTCCATACAAAACACAAAAGCCACTACCGGCTATAGTACATTCCCCTGCTCAAGGTATATTGTAACATTAAACTGCTTTGATGAGTTTCCATGTCTTAACTAGAGGATTTTTCATTGTACTAACAGCATGAATAAAAAAGATTGCCTTAACCATACTGTCAAAGACCCTTCCAAAAGCCTTAGCTGGTGGAAGACCAAGATAGATTTTATATCTCTGGCACTTTCCTTCACACGAGTTCATTTGACTTAAAAGTGGACACTAAACAAGAAACATTTTACCTTATATTGAAATTCTACTCATTCATATTCTATGGAGATATATAAGTTTTGAACTCAAGAACACTTTGTCATAGAGGCTCTAGTATCATGTGAAAAATCAACTGTCATGAAAGTGTTCATTTTAGCTGGCAAATGTACATGAATGATTTTTAAGTCTAACAAATACAAAGTTGACAAAGGTGGAATTCTTTTGGAAATGTAATTTTACCATATTTAAAATTATCTTACGCACAACATTCTTTTTTATTATGGTTGTTAGATATTGTTACATATTGTTAAAGTGGCGGATCTTGACCATTGATCTTGGAAGAGCCAAATAATATATTATTAATAAATAATAAATAAATATAAAAAAGAAAAAAGAATATGAAAGGGTGAAAAGATAAAATTGTAGATATATACTTAAATATATTAAATGATCTTTAAGTTTGAGGGAAACAAAATCATAAATTATATGAGAGTTACAAAACTGAGGAGGGGCTGAGAGGATAAAATTGTAAATATACAAGTAAATATATTAAATGTTCATTATGTTTGGGGGGGCCAAAATCATAAATTATATGGGAGTTACAAAACTTTGGGGGGGCCACGGCCCCCTCAGCTCCCAAGAAGATCCGCCACTGGTTAATCATAATATCAAACAATATCTTCTGTTAATTTTGTTTACTTTTGGTTACTCTTTTAGTTGTACCTCTCTCTCTATTATAAATAGATTACCCTATGTATGATTTATACATAAGGGAGATTAATCTCAAACCTTATTTCTTCTATATTCAACATGGTATTTAGAGCTTAAGGTTATTTTGAAATTTTTTCGCCTTTGTCCACTATTGGATATTATTTGGTAGTGTGAAAGTACATGTCTAGGAAGGTTCTGACAAGGAAAAATTTGGTATTTAAGCGTGTCCATTAATGACCTACCTCTCTTTCCTAGGAACTTACTTGGTGTATTGGTTCACGCCTTTGTCCCCGCCTCCGCCGGAGCCGCCGTCAGAGTTTCATTTTTGACCAGCAACATACAGTTTTGCTCGTCTTGATCAGACAACCATTGTGCCATTGAGATCACCATTATCGGAGTTGGTTGTCCGTTGTCTTCTGCGTCGTTTAGTCTCAACGGACTTGTTTTGGTCTTCTCGTTTTTTATCTGTACTTTGTGGGTTGATTGGATTACTTTGGATTTTTTTTAGGTTTTGTTCTCCCGCCCTTCATGACTTCTTCCACTCCTTCTACTACTTCCAATTCTGTTAATGATTCTTCTGCGTTGACATCTCACTGTGATGACCAGACTCGCCCTAGCAAACAGGGAAAATGACGTCCTAAGTGTGAACATTGTGACAAACTATGTCACAAGATTAACAAGTATTATGCATTACATAGTCGTCTTCCTCGATCTGCTGCAGTTGTTCAGACCGATCTTTCCCTACCTTTGTCTGTTGGGGATCTTCCCTCTTCTGTTGCATCTAACACATCTACTATGTTCAACAAATTTCTCAAATGGTATAAGGATCAACATTTTTCTAGTTCCACTACATCTGTCGCACACACAGGTACATATTTTGTTGGTCTAACCCAATCCTTTTCTCCTGGTCCTTGGATTTTTGATTCAGGAGCCACTGATCATATTACTGGTAACAAATCTTTGTTTTCCTCTTTATCCTTTCCTAATCTTTTACCTTCTGTTACACTGGCTGATGACTCTAGAATATCATCTCATGGTGTTGGAACTGTTAACCTTTTCCCTTCTTTAACCATTGATAATGTTCTTTATGTTTATGGGTCTCCTTTTAACCTATTGTGCATCAGTCGTCTAACTCATTCTCTTGATTGTGTTGTGTTTCTTTTACCAATATTTCTGTATGTTTACAGGATCAGAGTTCGAAACAGGTGATTGACACAGGATGTGAGTCTCATGGTCTTTATCATCTCCGTCCTTCTACACATGTTGGTGTAGTTATGGAGTCTCCCTCTCTTCTTCATGCTCAGTTAGGTCATCCAAGTCTTGCCAAGTTACAGAAACTTGTCCCTGCCTTGTCTAGTTTGGTGTGTGAGTCGTGTCAATTAGGCAAGTATAATTGTACTTCCTTTCCTCGTAGTGTCACACATGGTACTTCGTCCCTTTTTGTCGTGGTTCAATCTGACATTTGGGGACCTAACCGCGTTAAGTCTACTTTAGGTTTTCAATACTTTGTTACTTTCATTGATGATTATTCCAGATGCACTTGGTTATTTTTTATGAAAAATCGTTATGAATTATTTCATATCTTTAAAAAAATTTTCAATGAAATTCAAATTCAGTTCGGTGTTTCTATTAGAGTTTTGCGGAGTGATAATGACCGTGAATATCTTTCTCATTCTTTTAAACAATTCATGGCTTCTCTCGGTATCCTGCATCAAACTTCTTGTGCTTATACACCTCAACAAAATGGTGTAGCTGAACGCAAAAATAAACATCTTATTGAAACAATTCGCATTATTTTAATTCATGGAGAGGTTCCTCAACATTTTTGGGGTGATGCTCTTCTTACTGCATGTTATCTCGTTAATCGTATGCCTTTTTCGGTTTTAGATAATAAAATATCTCATTCCATTTTATTCCCTCATGAACCTCTTCATTCCTTATCTCTAAGAGTTTTCGGGTCTACATGTTTTGTTCATAATTTAAGTCTTG